TTTTTAGAAAGCTTACCGAGTTTTAGAAAAAAGTAACGATTTCATTCGATATTTCCGTTACAAATACTTGTACTTTTTCCCTAAAAAAGTAACGAAAGTACAAGTAAAAGTACTAAATTTAAAAAGTAACGAAGTACAAGTAAAAGTACGTACTTTTTACTTGTACCGGCGTTACAAGTAACGAAAGTAAAAGTACTGCCATATATGATAATGACACAATTTCTTAGAATTCAATTCTTTTCTTTTTGTACAACATATAATTTTTTTATTGTTAATATTTACTAATAACTTGTTATATAACTGTAAATAATGTAAAAAATATTCAAAATTTATTATAAACAAATTTTTTTACACATTAGTTATTTTTTGACAATCCAGTCATTTTGACTGCCTTAGAGTAATATAGGTATATCCTAAGTTTCAGTCTTCCTAGAGTTAAATATTTTTTTTACTTTTTATATTTAGTATTAATTTAGGTCAAAATAAGTGAAAAGTATTATAGTTGGCATTTTAATGATTTATGGTTATGAATTGCACCAAGAAACACTAGTATCTTTTTCTGCGTTAAAGGTTAAATCATTGAAACACGGCTCACTGTAAGATTGTGATTCAAATTTGCACTTATTTATATCTAAGAGAAACAGTTATTCGTCATTGAACTTTCTTTAATTTACAAAATCAATTATTGATAATGTTTGTATTGAAGAAACATTGTATATCTGCATCCTAAATTTATTGTTTCTTGCTTTAGATTGTATCGTTAAAGTAACTTTACTGATTCTTGTGTTGATCGCGTCTTATTGTAATAATAAAGTTTAGTTTTACGGAAAAACAAACATGGTATCGGCTACTTTACTCCAAGCATTCTGAAAGAACATCCTTGGTGTTTCACTACATCAGGAACTATTCTTAGATTTGGTGTACTGGAGCACTTGGTTGTACACTTAAAGAAACACTTCTTCAGTGAAACATTCTTCACACCATTTTTGATATTCAGATACACGAGATTTTTTTGCAGTGAAATATAATTAACTTATCCAAAAATCAAAGTTAAAACAAACTAACAAACACATTTTTTTAGAAAAGTTGTGAAAGTATTTGTTCAGAATTAAATTCTGAAGCAAATTACACTAAAAAAATAATTTAAAACCTCAATTATAATGTTTAACTTTTGAGATATTAATTATTATTTATAAAAAGGAATAAAAAATAATGAGTTATTTATTTTAGTAATAACAAGACTCTTCGGAAACATAATTAATAAATTTATTCCTGTCTTTTCTCGGAGAAAAATTTATTTTTCTCCGAAAAGGATCAAATAGCCGGAAGTAACTAGTTTTTGTCCTAGGGATAACGAATTAATATGTTAGATGAGAAAATTTTCGTTACACTCGCCTTCCTTAAAACTTATTTTGGAAATTCTTTTTGTGGTAATGTTTTTTACGAAAATATAAAACCTTCGATAATTGTTACAAGACTCAATTTACAATCATTATCGAATCAAATGTTAAATAACTTTTTCACTCGTTATTTTTACATAACACTTGTTTAATACTTTAAAATATCAACTAACACTTGTCTTAATAATTGCTTACGATTTTAAAATAAATTAAACTATTCATTCTGTGATAAATTTAATAATTTTTAAGAAATATTAAAAGTTTTTTTTACACCTTCTTTATAAAACGCATTAGTAAATATGTTCTTATGTCTGATTTTGTAACATTAAAAAGTGCCTACTAATTATTTTGCTTATTCAAAGGTTAGATTCTCGAATCTTCAAGATTACATCTTTGTACCTGAAAAGATGATTAGATCTAAAGTTATTAAGGTTTTCCATGCTTTTTTGCATACTGAGCAATTTAATAATACATTTTAGAAAACTATTGTTTGTTTTCAAGAGCAGGACTGACCACTCCGTGAACCTTGCACTTCGAGAAGGGATGATACGTTGGTATGTTGCTTTCTTTTAAGTGTGACTTTTTTGCAAAATTAACAGCCTATCATCTTTTCTCCCATCTCTTCATTTCTTGATGAAACAGATCTGACGCATGCGCAAATATGAAAAAGATCCTCGGATACGAAAATATACAATAATAAGCTCAATGGAAAGTTATTTCAGGTGTTTTCATGATTACAAAACGCTTAATTGTATAAAAACGCGATGAATTTTTACTCCAGTACTTTGAATACTACTAAGTATTTTAAAGAACACAGTCAACTAACACTTAATCATATTATTTTTTAATGGTCATGAAATTGACAAACCTTAAGGACAATGCTATTTTAAATTCATTCTGTGTAATGTTTGCATTTTATTTTATATTTTGACGAATTTTCATTAAAAAAAACAAATGAATCCAACAGTTTCAAATATGTGCCATTAGTTTAAACGTTGTTCTTAAATCACCAAACTCATCCTTTCAAATTATTTACGGATATTAGATCACATTTGAAAAGTAAAATTTTGAAGTTCAGTGCATTTGAAAAAATTAGCTTTAACGATTATATATTGATAAATTCTGCGATATTTTTTCTTCTTGAAATCATGTGGCAAGAGAAGGGTAGTTTGTTTTTTAATTACGTGAACAGATTGCAGATGACCAGGTAAACAATTAAAATACATTCTTGCTCTAACTGCAATTTTTCCATTACTATAGTAAAGACATTTTAACTAAGGTCCCCTATGTACACCCAAAAAACACAGACCACCTTGATTAACTTTTGATCTAATTATCGGATCTTTACGCTCTAGGACTCAATCTTAATGCCTCGAGAGGGTGACTTCAAATATAGTAATTAATAAGTTCAGGCAATATTTTAAGTTACGAATTCAGACACAAATACGTACTTTCCCGAAATAAACATATCACTTTTTTGACGGAATCGGATTTTTAACCCCAAAATATAGGGGGTAGCCGCGATCTGGAAAATATGGTTCTTTTTTTGACCAAACTATTAGTTTGGTCAGAAGATCGGTCCGAAGTTTGAACCCCTTAGTGCTAATCTGACTTTTTGAGTATTTCGCTATATCTCGAGAACTTTTTAAGCGAATAGAAAATTTTTTGGACACAATTATAAAAAAATAACTTGTGGTAAATATTTATTATTTTTTGTTTTATTTAAGAATGGTCAAAAAAAATTTGAATTTTAAGTCATACAATTTTTTTCATTGTTTTAAAGAATATATTTTTGCATGACGAAATACAAAATTTGAACAAAATCGGTTGAATAGTTCCTGATAAATTGAATTTCAAAAAAGTCGGATATTTAAAATTCGATTTCTCAGGAACTAATCAACCGATTTTGTTCAAATTATGTATTTTGCCATTTAAAATTATGCATTTTAAAATGATATACAAATTCTGTACCTTACAATTTAAAATGTTTTCAACTATTATTAATAAAATAGTGAAAAATAATAAATATTTACAAAAATTTATTTTTCGCATGGAATTATATTTGGATAAACGAATTTTATAACTGTGTTAGAAAATCTTTCAATTAGCTCAAAAAACTGTTGAGATATGGCGAAATACGCAAAAAGTAAAATTAACATTAAAGGTTCAAAACTTTAAACAGCTGTCCTGACCAGACTGTGGGGACAATATTTCCCAGATTGCGGCTACCCCGTATATTTTGGGGGTCAAAAATACAAATTAGTTGAAAAACAGGTATGTTTATTTAGAGAAAGTACGTTTTTCTGTCCGATTTCATAACTTAAAATATCGCCTGAACTTATTAATTAGCATATTTGAGGTCATCCGTTTGAGTCATTTAGATTGACTTCTAAAACATGAAAATTCTGCCATTACATCAAAAGTTATTAAGGGTGGTCCATTTTTTTATTTTGCTCACTGTACATGATCAAGATTACGCCGATTATTATAGTTTGCTAAAATAAAAAGACGTTGGTCTAGTAGCTGTACATTTCTTTCAAAATTTTTCTTCGTTTAATAAAAATAATAGCTGTAACTGGATACAACTCTTTTACCGTCTACTTAGTTAGGTAGTACAGCAATAACTTGTCCTGCTTGTCTTGTAAGCTCTGAAAATCTCTCTGAGACTTACAATGAGTTCAGAAACGGAAGAAAAAGAATAATATATAGAACATAGCTATTACAAGTAATATATTTAATATTGATGCTAAACACGTATGCATAGCTCTCACGGTTAAAGTTAGAGAGAGAAAATTTAGAAATGACACTACCCACTTTTTTTTAATATCGAAGCGTATTTCTTATAATGAGAAACTTTAAGTTTAGTTGGAATAATATTTTAATCACAGGAAATGGAGATATGTTTCATGACCACTAAAGGAAAAAAACGTGTGATAAAAATATTTAAAAGCAGTGAAGTCTCAATGAAAATATTTTAAGCATTGCAAATTTTTTACTAGTCCATTATTACACGACCAACAAGCCCGTAATTTCTCTGAATCGTTATTAGAGATCTGATCGTCATCATTCATGAAAATAGTGGTCATGAAAATATCAACGCTTTGCAAAGATCAAGCGTAGCCATTTCTAGAGCTGAAAGTATTGTTGCAACTCCATTTTGTGATCTGTAATACAAAGACTACGCTTTCATTAGCCGAATTTGGTGTTGTCATTTGAGCATTTTCAAATTTCGTCTTTGTAACTGTAACCATGATAACTACGCAATTGTTTTTTATATCATCCTTAAGCGCTGTATACGAAATTTAATATGTATATAGCATGAAATTCGCAGTGTTAATATTTTCTTGTTTTCTTTTCTATGATTCAAAACGAAGCAAAATAGCAGTTTTCGTTTAGTTAATAAAGTATTATTTTAAAATACAAGTTAATTTATCATGATAAACCTTAATGCACCAATTTTTTGTTTTTTATCTTTAAAATTCTTTAGAAAGTGTTTTTTCAAACGGAATATGTAGGAAAAAATGTTTACTTAAGGAATGATGGATTAGGTAAAGAATTAGAAGAAAAAAGGAGAAAAATCACGCACGAATGGTCTAAAAATAAATGTAAAAAGATTGTGGAAAAACGTGTTTTCATTTTCTTATATATAACATAGAACAACATTATAATTGATTCTTATGTTATATAACTACTATGGTTTAGCGAAGTTGATAAAAAATAAAGTATACGAATAAATGTCAGTTCACTTTTATGAACTGACATTCAATATAGACATAAATAATTTCATTTTCTTTAAATTTTGGTTTTGCTTCTAAACATAACACATAATGTTCATTTTCGAATTTTTATACTCAAAATCACTCATTTAAAATCAGATATAAGGTTTTTCAAAATAATAATCGGATATAATTAAAATGAGTACTTTTAAATTAAACGAATTAAAAGTACTTACTCGTATGTTGTTGGACTAACGTTGATTCGCATAGCTATACTGCCAGATTCAAATTTATTTGCGAGAGTTACGTGGTTTCCGAACAGGCAGTATCTTGGCATTTTTGTGCCTACAACTCCAGCTAAAATGACTCCAGTGTGAAGACCAATACGCATCTGAAAAAAAGATAATAAGAAAAATATAGTTAAAACAGAGAGTCATTTATATTAAAAAATATTTTGTCGGTGAGCTCTTTAATCTGGACACAACACTCGAAATACATGCTCAAGAAGATGGTTGGTAGGTACTTTATTTATGTTGCACTAGAGATGCACAATGGGCTATTGACGATAGTCTGGAAAGCATCCCTGAGGATGATCATGAGTTTTGAAATCACAATTTTGATTCTCTGTTGAGTTGATGGCTCCCTATCTTTGGTTGGTCTGACGATCTGCACATGAAGTCAAACACCTTACGGAAGAACAGTTCTACGAGGACCGAAACCGCACATCCTCCGTCCCTACGCAGGCTGACAAAAGTTGTCACACACCCGCTTACTGGCCGCAGCCATTGATGCCAAATAGACTAAGAAAATGGAATTTCATACATTATTTTTCTTACATTTTTTAAATACTAAGCATAATCATGCAAATACTAAGTGTTGAAAGTATTTCAGATATCTTATTTTCGATAGATCTGTTATTTTAATGACGTATAAGGATATATGGATGATAATGAAATTATTGAAATTTTATGACAACCTTATTTTTAGCTAATATTGTACTTTTATGAAAAATATTATTTAGATTTTCAGTTTCTAATGCTACATCTTTTATAACATTTATTTTTGTTAACATTTTAAAAATTGTTAATATTTTTCGTGAAAATAGTACCGAGTGGAAAATTTAGTCTGAGTAGTACGTTTAGAATTAAAATTTCATGCCCTGGTATAAAGTCCCAAAATGGCCGACAATTTGAAAGATTGAATCAAGAAAAACGTATAAGAGAATAGTTCTGCTGTGCTCTACATTGAATACGAGATTTTATTCAGGCAAACTTATAAAATTAATATTAAAGATTACAAAGCATGATGCTGATGAATAAACTGAAATTTAAAACGTTGTTTTCAAAGACAACCAACATTTGCCACTACAATGGTAATTCTCGACCTTGTATAGACAGGCCAAGTGAATTTAAGTTTCTGCACTCAAACTTTCTTTGACGTGCTATCCAGATTTAAGATTTTGTTTGAAAATTCATAAACGGAAACAGCTAAGAATTTGAAGAAACTGAAAGACTTTTGTCAGACTTTGCAAACTGCATTCATGTGGTAGTTTCGTTTTTAAAATAAGATTTGTCAGCTTGAAAATGTTAAAAAAGAAACAGTAGATGGAAGTTCTGTCTTCAAATCGAAGATGCAACTGAGGAAATGGGTTCCAAGTGAAATTTTAGTGAATTTCGGTTAAAAAAAAAAGATTTAAATATATCGCATGATATTAGATTCTGGATAATACCTCCATGTTCAGTGCTACTTTACACCAGCTTTAAATACTTTCACATAGATTGCTTAATCCATCATATGTAATCTGCATATCCTTTCGTTCCTTTATAAATTAAAATGATGACGTTATTTTCGTTGTGATATTTCTGAGGAAAACATGCATGTCTACTTTTCATTTGAGCAACACTTATATTAATGTCGTGTAGATAAATAAGATCTTCTCCCGAGAAACCTTAAATTTCTTTTAAAAAATGTCAATTATTAGCTTTTATTGAGCTCTTCAATACTTTCTATCGTTATGATTTATCTAAAATCCACCTTCGATCTAAGTTTGATTTCATTAGCCATTTTAGAAAAATAAAATATTAAATCAGATAAACTGTTAATTCCAACAAGATCAAGTATATGAGTTTAATTAAGTTTCTGTTCTTCTAAATTAGATATATATTATATATTAGTATTCAACTTCTTTTTTTTCTTTTATTATTATCAATTTGTGTGAATATATAGTCATCGATAGTTCGTCTATCTAAATACTGATTAATGTCTACAATGTATCTTTTTCCTGAGTGCAAATAAAAACAATACTGCCTTCACAATTTTTCTTTTGTCTCAATATCACGGAGTATCTTCCATTCAATGTTTCTCTTTTAAAATTTATCACATTTTTTTCGAATTTCTTTAATAATTGATAGCAGCTGGTATCACTTAAAATACCAGAAAATTCATTACGTGTAGGAAAAACTTATCTTCTCAAATAAATTACTTTAACGGCTACATCAGTTTTTGTGTCGAAAGAAATTCTTTTCCGACATTTTCTTCTTTAAGTTTTTTTGTATTGCGATATATCTTTGATGAATATTATAGTTCTTAGTAAATAACTAAGAATGAAAATGTATTGTAACAAAATATACTTCTTTTGTTTGTCCACAAGATTTTCGTAAAATTGATTACTTCGATTTTTTTTTAAAATAGTACGACATTGATTTCTTTAATAGCATATATATATA